AACATCCTCTTGGTTATTTTAAGCACATTTCTGCTGCCGCCAACAGAGCTGATGTTGCAATTTTTACTTACATTTCCAGCCTTCACTTTAAGATGAAAATATTTATTTGTAAAAAAAAAAAAAACACAAGAGTAATCGGTGATGCTAATAATCTAGACACTAAATATTTTAATTTTAATTTTTTATAAATATATTATTTTAAATATAATTTTTTTTATACAAATATTTTAAAAAGTACTTTAAAATATATAAAAAACTATTTTAAAATATTTAATTGTTTTATTTTCTGTATAAAATGAAAAACAAAACGTTTAAACAGGGGCTTTACCAGGATGAGTCAGAACAATAGAAATAAATGAGATAATTCATTTTGTAATGATCATTAACATGATGACACTCCCATAGAAGGAAGTCTTTAAGAGAAGTTTGTGGGAAAACCCATACGTTTGAGTTCATCGGTCAGTGTGACGATCGGGCCTGGTGTCATTTGCTTCTTCAGTAGATTAAACACCTACTTCCGATCTCCACTTTAAACTCTGCTTTAGCGATTCCCGCGCTGTTTGCTGTCTGGCAGACGTACACGCCTTCATCCGTCACGTTCAGAGGCCTGACGAACATCAGTCTGTCCTCCTTCACCAACACTCCTGCTGGCAGACGGTCGTCCTTCCTGAACACACACAGAGAGACAGGCAGACAGACAGACAGACAGAGAGAGAGACAGAGAGACAGAGAGACAGGCAGACAGAGACAGACAGAGAGACAGACGTCAGTGGATGCAGCTGTTCACTAAGAGTTCAACTGATGACTTTTTAAAGAACAAAGGCCACATTTCTAAACTATTAGATATGTCAGAAACCCTTTATAGTTGAATTTATTTACTAAATTTAACAATTAATATATAATATATGATATTAAAATAACTGTTTTCTATGTGAATATCTGTTAAAATGTAATTTATTTCTGTAATCAAAGCAGAATTTTTAAGCATCATTACGGCAGTCTTCAGTGGTATCAATGCTGATTATCATCAATGCTGAAAACAGTTGTGCTGGCCAATATTTCTGTGGAAACCGTGATGCATTTTATTTTGCAGGATTCTTTGATGAATAGAAAATTCAAAAGAATTTTTGAGGCACTTTTGATCAATTTAATGAGTACTTGCTGAATACAATTCTTTTTTATTATTATTTATTTTGAATTGCAGTGGTTTCCACAAAAAATATTGTGCAGCACAACTGTTTTCAACATTGATAATAACCAGAAATGTTTCTCGAGCAGCAGATCAGCATATTATACTGATTTCTGAAGATCATGTGACACTGAAGACTGGAGGAATGATGCTGAAAATACAGCTGCGCATCACAGGAATACATTACAGTTTAACACATATTCACATAGAAAACAGCTACATTAAATAGTAATAATATTTCACATTTTGACAGTATTTTTGATCAAACAAATGCAGCCTTGTTGAGAAGGAGACTTCTTTTAACAAAGAAAATCGCTGCAAATTCTGCATTGCATTATAGAAATGTACAAATTTTTTCACATTTGCATAATAAACATTATTTTAAACTAATAATATTTCACTGTTTTTACTGTATTTTGATCAAATAAAAGCAGATTTGGTGAGCAGAAGAGACATTTTAACAATTAACGTTTTGAAACACTTTTCAGAAAAGACGACTTAATATCTTATGCATATTATTTTGCATCTACATCTTGATTTAAGAATGTTCATATACTTGTACTGGAAAAGCAAAATGAACACACAGCAAGAAAATCGCTTTTTGAAAGACTGCATTTGCAAGACACATGCTTCAGTTTAAATGTGCACGACGGCTGTTTTTCCCCTTCCTCCATCAGTATCAGTGTTTAATCTGCTTTAGGTGACTGTAACCCCTCAGACCTCTCAGATGTGCATCAGGACACACCCCGATACCGACACACACACTGCATTCCTCCGGCCGATACCCCACATCATCACACAGCTGCAGCGACGCCAAACACCACATTAAACGCATCTCAGGTTTCGGACCTTCGCTGTAATTATCAACCGAGTATCATGTGACTCCTGCACGCTGTTGCCAGTTCATTCTCCAACACTACCTGAATTAAAGCACCTTTTCAGCAACTGTATGCATGCAAATATGACCGACACACCATGCAACCTTAATAAAGCACCAACACGCATGATCTGAGGACTCGTTCCCGTCTGGAGAAGCATGCATGACGACGCACACTGGATGCATTAAACGCTGCATCTTTAATCCAGTGCAAAGTCTGTGTTTCTGTGCCGGTAAAAACAATCATTACAGGACAGGAGGGTTATTTAGGGCTTAGCGTGTGTCTTGATACACCCCACCCTCATCATTTAGCATCCTGTTCTTTCTCTCTCTCTCGTTCTCTTTCAAATATTGTGCAGCACGACTGTTTTCAACATTGATAATAATCAGAAATGTTTCTCGAGCAGCAGATCAGCATATTATACTGATTTCTGAAGATCATGTGACACTGAAGACTGGAGGAATGATGCTGAAAATACAGCTGCGCATCACAGAAATACATTACAGTTTAATATATATTCACATAGAAAACAGCTACATTAAATAGTAATAATATTTCACATTTTGACAGTATTTTTTATCAAATAAATGCAGCCTTGTTGAGAAGGAGACTTCTTTTAACAAAGAAAATCGCTGCAAATTCTGCATTGCATTATAGAAATGTTAAATTTTTTTCACATTTGCATAATAAACATTATTTTAAACTAATAATATTTCACTGTTTTTACTGTATTTTGATCAAATAAAAGCAGATTTGGTGAGCAGAAGAGACATTTTAACAATTAACGTTTTGAAACACTTCAGAAAAGATTACTTAATATCTTATGCATATTATTTTGCATCTACATCTTGATTTAAGAATGTTCATATACTTGTACTGGAAAAGCAAAATGAACACACAGCAAGAAAATCGCTTTTTGAAAGACTGCATTTGCAAGACACATGCTTCAGTTTAAATGTGCACGACGGCTGTTTTTCCCCTTCCTCCATCAGTATCAGTGTTTAATCTGCTTTAGGTGACTGTAACCCCTCAGACCTCTCAGATGTGCATCAGGACACACCCCGATACCGACACACACACACTGCATTCCTCCGGCCGATACCCCACATCATCACACAGCTGCAGCGACGCCAAACACCACATTAAACGCATCTCAGGTTTCGGACCTTCGCTGTAATTATCAACCGAGTATCATGTGACTCCTGCACGCTGTTGCCAGTTCATTCTCCAACACTACCTGAATTAAAGCACCTTTTCAGCAACTGTATGCATGCAAATATGACCGACACACCATGCAACCTTAATAAAGCACCAACACGCATGATCTGAGGACTCGTTCCCGTCTGGAGAAGCATGCATGACGACGCACACTGGATGCATTAAACGCTGCATCTTTAATCCAGTGCAAAGTCTGTGTTTCTGTGCCGGTAAAAACAATCATTACAGGACAGGAGGGTTATTTAGGGCTTAGCGTGTGTCTTGATACACCCCACCCTCATCATTTAGCATCCTGTTCTTTCTCTCTCTCTCGTTCTCTTTCTTTACTGTCCCATGCATGAAAAGCACCCTTTTTGGCTCTATGCTCTCAGGTTGCAACGCGACACTGAAGCTTTTATTTGATCCTGAAAGGAGCATGTGAATATGCATCGCTGCAGTTCAGAGGCCTTTGTGATCGTGTGTTAAAGAGAACGAAAGGAAGAGGAAAATAAAGAGAAACTAAGGGAGAAGGGGTGGAAAACTAGGGATTTTGCAATGTCGCTAGTTCAGTTCGATGCTCATGCAAATAAAGCATGCCGAGTTTGAATAACTGCGGCGGGTGAACTGACAGACAGCAGCGTAATGGACTAATAAACAGGCCTGTGGTTCACGGTCACGCCTACAGACTGATGAATACGACACACAAACATCAGAGTATTTGCCAAAATCACAACCTCTGATCTGATTGGCTGTGTTCATCTCCAGGAGTCAGTTAGGGCCGAGTAATATGAAGCTAAAAATATCGAAAATATGCTAAACACTAAAAAATAAATACTAAATAGTTATACTAAAAACAGTAAAATAATAAATAGAAAATACTAAAATAGTAAAAAATAAATATTAAAACAAACACTAAATACTAATATTACAATCAGTAAAATAGCACAAAAATATATATATATTATATATATAAATATATATTAAATATTAATACTAAAGCCTAAAATAGTAAAACTATAAAAATAAACACTAATACTAAATAAACTAATACTAAAAAATAAACACTAATACTAAAATAATAAATAGAAAATAGTAAATTATAAAGTAATATTAAAACAAACACTAAACACTAATATCAAAAACAGTAAAATAGCAACAAAAAAAATATTAATACTAAAAATAGTAAAATCATAAAACAGTAAAAATAAATACTAAATACTAATACTAACAATAGTAAAATTGTAAAAATAAATATTGAATACTCAAATAAATACTAAGAGTAAAAATGGTTAAAAAATAAATACAAAAAAATAAATAAATACTAAAATATTAACAAATATTAAAACAAATATTAAATACCAATGCTAAAAATAGCAAAATAGTAGAAATCAACACTAAATGCTAAAATAAATCGCAATATTGAAATAGTAAAGATAAATATTAAATACGAAACTGTTTTCTCTACATGAACAAAGATTAACTTAATTTAATTATTTTAATTTATATGCACCAAATTAACAATGCATAACATAATCGGCAACATTTAGGGAACTTAATGGAAACTTAAAATCATTGTAATTGTCTTCACAAAGCTGCTTAATTTTAACCTGACAGCAAAATCACAAGAATATTGTGAATGCCGCATATAATCACCCAGTCATAAACTCACCTGTAATCAACTAGACTGATGCAATGAGTGCTGATGAAGAACTAGTTATAGTTTGTGGCACTAAATGACATTCAGGCATTTAGTAAAAATATTTTTAATGATCAGAACTGTATATTGAACATTTTTTGGATGGACAGAAATTCTGATCACAAATTCTACATATGAAGAGTTTATTTGCAAAAACAGATAACTCTGTTAAGTTTTTTATTATGTTATGTTTTTATTTTTAAAGTTATTTTTTAACCTAGTCAAAATAACCCAACTGCAGTTTGATTGAGATTAATTGGAACACAATGAAAAAACACGATTTCTGAGAATTCCGTTTTTGCAAATTAACACTTTGATTTGAATGTCTTTTTCTCCATGCCAGTCTATTATTGTGGTTTAGTCTATCTCAGATGCTCATCTGCCCCAAAACAACAGGTAAAAACAAAGCTAACTGTGGTTAGTCACTTCACACATCAGTCAGACTGAATCTTTCTGTGCGAAGAGGTGGATTTAGGTCAGAATAAACTGCAGATCATCCACAGTCTGGCTCGGTCAAACTGTGTCACCTGCTCCATGTGACGTTTTGCGGCAGCGGGTTTCCTTTAACCACACATCTGAGCTCTGATCCGGAGTGTCCTACTCTACATTAAATAGTAATAATATTTCACATTTTGACAGTATTTTTTATCAAATAAATGCAGCCTTGTTGAGAAGGAGACTTCTTTTAACAAAGAAAATCGCTGCAAATTCTGCATTGCATTATAGAAATGTTAAATTTTTTTCACATTTGCATAATAAACATTATTTTAAACTAATAATATTTCACTGTTTTTACTGTATTTTGATCAAATAAAAGCAGATTTGGTGAGCAGAAGAGACATTTTAACAATTAACGTTTTGAAACACTTCAGAAAAGATTACTTAATATCTTATGCATATTATTTTGCATCTACATCTTGATTTAAGAATGTTCATATACTTGTACTGGAAAAGCAAAATGAACACACAGCAAGAAAATCGCTTTTTGAAAGACTGCATTTGCAAGACACATGCTTCAGTTTAAATGTGCACGACGGCTGTTTTTCCCCTTCCTCCATCAGTATCAGTGTTTAATCTGCTTTAGGTGACTGTAACCCCTCAGACCTCTCAGATGTGCATCAGGACACACCCCGATACCGACACACACACACTGCATTCCTCCGGCCGATACCCCACATCATCACACAGCTGCAGCGACGCCAAACACCACATTAAACGCATCTCAGGTTTCGGACCTTCGCTGTAATTATCAACCGAGTATCATGTGACTCCTGCACGCTGTTGCCAGTTCATTCTCCAACACTACCTGAATTAAAGCACCTTTTCAGCAACTGTATGCATGCAAATATGACCGACACACCATGCAACCTTAATAAAGCACCAACACGCATGATCTGAGGACTCGTTCCCGTCTGGAGAAGCATGCATGACGACGCACACTGGATGCATTAAACGCTGCATCTTTAATCCAGTGCAAAGTCTGTGTTTCTGTGCCGGTAAAAACAATCATTACAGGACAGGAGGGTTATTTAGGGCTTAGCGTGTGTCTTGATACACCCCACCCTCATCATTTAGCATCCTGTTCTTTCTCTCTCTCTCGTTCTCTTTCTTTACTGTCCCATGCATGAAAAGCACCCTTTTTGGCTCTATGCTCTCAGGTTGCAACGCGACACTGAAGCTTTTATTTGATCCTGAAAGGAGCATGTGAATATGCATCGCTGCAGTTCAGAGGCCTTTGTGATCGTGTGTTAAAGAGAACGAAAGGAAGAGGAAAATAAAGAGAAACTAAGGGAGAAGGGGTGGAAAACTAGGGATTTTGCAATGTCGCTAGTTCAGTTCGATGCTCATGCAAATAAAGCATGCCGAGTTTGAATAACTGCGGCGGGTGAACTGACAGACAGCAGCGTAATGGACTAATAAACAGGCCTGTGGTTCACGGTCACGCCTACAGACTGATGAATACGACACACAAACATCAGAGTATTTGCCAAAATCACAACCTCTGATCTGATTGGCTGTGTTCATCTCCAGGAGTCAGTTAGGGCCGAGTAATATGAAGCTAAAAATATCGAAAATATGCTAAACACTAAAAAATAAATACTAAATAGTTATACTAAAAACAGTAAAATAATAAATAGAAAATACTAAAATAGTAAAAAATAAATATTAAAACAAACACTAAATACTAATATTACAATCAGTAAAATAGCACAAAAATATATATATATTATATATATAAATATATATTAAATATTAATACTAAAGCCTAAAATAGTAAAACTATAAAAATAAACACTAATACTAAATAAACTAATACTAAAAAATAAACACTAATACTAAAATAATAAATAGAAAATAGTAAATTATAAAGTAATATTAAAACAAACACTAAATACTAATATCAAAAACAGTAAAATAGCAACAAAAAAAATATTAATACTAAAAATAGTAAAATCATAAAACAGTAAAAATAAATACTAAATACTAATACTAACAATAGTAAAATTGTAAAAATAAATATTGAATACTCAAATAAATACTAAGAGTAAAAATGGTTAAAAAATAAATACAAAAAAATAAATAAATACTAAAATATTAACAAATATTAAAACAAATATTAAATACCAATGCTAAAAATAGCAAAATAGTAGAAATCAACACTAAATGCTAAAATAAATCGCAATATTGAAATAGTAAAGATAAATATTAAATACGAAACTGTTTTCTCTACATGAACAAAGATTAACTTAATTTAATTATATATGCACATATGCACCAAATTAACAATGCATAACATAATCGGCAACATTTAGGGAACTTAAAATCATTGTAATTGTCGCTGCTTAATTGCTTAATTTTAACCTGACAGCAAAATCACAAGAATATTGTGAATGCCGCATATAATCACCCAGTCATAAACTCACCTGTAATCAACTAGACTGATGCAATGAGTGCTGATGAAGAACTAGTTATAGTTTGTGGCACTAAATGACATTCAGGCATTTAGTAAAAATATTTTTAATGATCAGAACTGTATATTGAACATTTTTTGGATGGACAGAAATTCTGATCACAAATTCTACATATGAAGAGTTTATTTGCAAAAACAGATAACTCTGTTAAGTTTTTTATTATGTTATGTTTTTATTTTTAAAGTTATTTTTTAACCTAGTCAAAATAACCCAACTGCAGTTTGATTGAGATTAATTGGAACACAATGAAAAAACACGATTTCTGAGAATTCCGTTTTTGCAAATTAACACTTTGATTTGAATGTCTTTTTCTCCATGCCAGTCTATTATTGTGGTTTAGTCTATCTCAGATGCTCATCTGCCCCAAAACAACAGGTAAAAACAAAGCTAACTGTGGTTAGTCACTTCACACATCAGTCAGACTGAATCTTTCTGTGCGAAGAGGTGGATTTAGGTCAGAATAAACTGCAGATCATCCACAGTCTGGCTCTGTCAAACTGTGTCACCTGCTCCATGTGACGTTTTGCGGCAGCGGGTTTCCTTTAACCACACATCTGAGCTCTGATCCGGAGTGTCCTACTCTCCAGGAGCCAGAATCAGCGATCACTGCATCAGGAGGAACTGCAGCACAAACACAGGGTCATATCAGGGACATTATCATCGTTAAGGTCAAGGTCAGTTTATTTATAAAGCACATTTAAAAACAGCTAGTGTATGCCAAAGTGCTGTACATATACAAATAAAGTAAATGTAGAGATTGAGAGAATAAAAATAAACGACTCGACAAACACATCATCAATACAAAATTAACAGAACAAAATTAAAAAATATTTTTATCACCTGAAATAAAATGAACATTAACTCAAATACAACAATATTAACTAAAAAAAAAAGTATTTTCATTCAGCTAGTTCCCAAGGAAACACTTATCATTTTCATTTAGTTTAACTTGATCTACTAAAATAAACTCAAACTAAAACTACATAGACGTACAAAACTGAAACCTTATCAAAAATTAAAATAAAAAATAGAAACGAATTCAAATTATTAATTAAAACTATTTAATAGTATTTTGTTGATACTGAAATAATACTTTATTTTATCTCAAGGTAATAATGATAATGAACATTAATTGACATAAATAACAAAATATTTTTTTAAAAATAACCTTATTTTAATTTCTCATTAACAAACATTTCTCGTTAATCATTTAGTTTAACTTGATGTACTAAAATAACTACAAATGAAATAAAAAATAAAAACTATATTAGACATGAAAAAAACTAATAAAACGCAAACAAAAAAATTTACTAAAATTACAATAAAAACAATATATAAAAATAATGCAAACTATTAATAAAATCTATAATGGTATTTCACCGATACAAAAATAACACGGTATCAGGGTTATTATCGTTAACTAAAACCATTAAAAAATTCATTGCTTAAAATAAATTGAACATTAAAATAAAATTAATTTACCGCTGTAACCAAAGCAGCTTATGAACAGCAATGATACAGTGTTTCCTTGGTTACCGCTGTAAACAAAGCAGCTTATGAACAGCAATGATACAGTGTTTCCTTGGTTACCGCTGTAAACAAAGCAGCTTATGAACAGCAATGATACAGTGTTTCCTTGGTTACCGCTGTAAACAAAGCAGCTTATGAACAGCAATGATACAGTGTTTCCTTGGTTACCGCTGTAAACAAAGCAGCTTATGAACAGCAATGATACAGTGTTTCCTTGGTTACCGCTGTAAACAAAGCAGCTTATGAACAGCAATGATACAGTGTTTCCTTGGTTACCGCTGTAAACAAAGCAGCTTATGAACAGCAATGATACAGTGTTTCCTGGGTTACCGATTCAATGTGATTACGATTATCATGTCAACAATTCGATTCAATGCGACATTATTGCAAATTAATTTTGTGCATTTTTATTAAATTATGTAAGCAGGCTACTTTTTAATTAATTAATTTTAGGAATTAAATAAAGTAAATATAGCTTCAAAACATACAAACAAATTTAAAGTAATAAAGGGGGGGAAAGACAATTACAAGTAAAACAAAGCACTAAGAGTGCTTTAAGTATCCGAATGTTTACAGACAATCATAGCTAAAAAAATAAAATAAAATGGAGTGCATTTTTAATACTCACGTGACAAGCATGTATGCGAATGACATCAGTAGGCTATAATCGATTATGGTCTATTACTACAGCGATTAATTTCGACATCCCTAATATTAACACTGCAAACTGTGGCATCTTAAGAGCACAGAATAGAACTACAGCACTTTAAAGTGAAAATATACACAATAACATTAGAATAGGTCAAATAGTGTGTGCTATTTTAGTATCTTTGAGATACTATTATAGTTTTTGTTAATATTTTGAATTCAAGTTTATATATTTTCAGTTTTCATTTTAATTTTAGTTGAAGTTCTAGTAATTTTAAAGGGGTCATATGACGATGCTAAAAATAACATTAGTTTGTGTATTTGGTGTAAAGCAATGTGTTTACATGGTTTAAGGTTCCTCCTCTCTGCCCCGCATTTCTGAAACGCGTAAATTTTTACAAAGCTCATTGTTCTGAAAAGCGTGCTGTGCTCTGATTGGTCAGCTATCCAGTGCATTGTGATTGGCTGAATACCTCAAGCGTGTGACGGAAATGTTACGCCCCTACCATATTTGGAAACACACAGCGTCTCCATGACAACAATACCACAGTGAGAATGAAAGTTACGCCTTGTTACTTTGCATAAACTTTTGGACGGCGTTATGCAAATCTTCCCACACAGTGACGTAGACATGTGGAGGCGTGTTTAAACTAGCCGTTTTAGGAGGGCGTGGACGAGTCTTAACATTTATAAAGAATATCTTTTTGGGTTTGAGACTTTAGTCTTTGCAACTTTACAGATCTTATCTATTCACGAACAGCTTGTAACACTCCAAAGAGAAAAGAAAACTTGAAATCGCATCATATGACCTCATGTGTGTTTTAGTCTCTTTTTATTATGTTTTATTAAAAAAAAAGTATATATAGTTTTATATATAGTAAAATACATAGCTTTTATATTTTACAACTTATAACTATATATATTTTAAGGCAAGACACTACAGTCAAATAGGGTAAAAGTTTCAACTAATAGATTTCAGAATACTTCCCCAGTTGATTAATCACAGTATAATATGACAACTGTTTTTATTACAAGTTTTCTGAAATGTCTAAATTATGCAAATGGGGAATGCCTAATTTAAGATGCACTAATTTTCACACATTTTCCTGAACAATGGATAAAGCCAGGATCCAAATGTTTGTTCGATTTTGTTGACATATTGGAGATAAAAGTTTTTACAGATGGAATTTTGGATTTCTCTTATCACCCCATAAAATCTGAAAATACTGTCAATAGTAGGAGTGCTCCGATCAGGATTTTTGAGGCCGATCACCGATCACAGAAAGCAGTATCTGCCGATACGATCACCGATACCGATCACAGAAAGCAGTATCTGCCGATACGATCACCGATACCGATCACAGAAAGCCTTTTTATAATTTATAACCATTTATAGTGATACTCCAATCAGGATTTTTAGACATTTATTCAAGGCCTGAATTTCATTTGTGAAAATGTGGGGAATTCCCCTCTTAGGTGACTCTTGTGAGAGAAGCAGCTTTCACACAGCAGTCCGCTACTGATCCGTGGCTGATTACCAAAAACACAACATTTATCCATTATTTTGATTTCAAATTCAAACATCGTCACTGAAAATGCTTTTTCAGCATTGCAATTCTTTTTTTACACAGTACAGTAATACTATCTTTCACAGACATGTTTAAACACAATAAATATAAGCAACACATTATTCAATGCTTTTTACTTTTGCACTTCTAGATTTATATATTAAGCTGCTCAAGCAAGTGGCAAAACATCGTCACAAACATACCATTGACAGAAATAGACAGCTCTACTGCCTTTCCTTTTGCATTGAAATTGCGGTTCATGAAGAACTTTGTTTTCCTACCTCCACGAGTGCCATCTATAATTGCCTTGTTTATCTAAAAGTACTCTTTTCCTTTAAACCTAGCCAACACGCCATATGTGTTGACTGTGATACACAGTAGACTTTAATAATATGCATTTATGGTGTAATTACTAAATTTGTGTGTCAACCCATGTTTATATTTACTACAAACGATGCGCTGTTACTTTAATTCAGCGCTTGCAGCGCAGCAATAGACTCAGTGAAGAAACGATCTGCACTGCTGCTCCTGAACGCACTGCCGGACCATAACCGTGTGCAGTGAACGCTTTAAGCCATTAACATGAGCGCGGAAAAAATACGCACCACATACACACTGCAAATGAAGGTAATGTGACCCTGGCGTTATGCGTGTGCGCTGCGAGTCTGCATGAGCGTACGGTCTCCAGGAGAGCGTGCGAGCGCTGAATGGTTAAACACTGGCAAGAATTTCAAAGTAATGCAATTTATAAACTTTAGTGACGATGTGACACTACCTCGATTGTGCAAGTGACAATTCCTGTGTCAACTGTACAGCTCGCTTATAGACAGATGCGATGTGGTGATTTGAAGCCATTTGCAATTGTGACTCAGACTGTTTGTGAAATTATGTCTCACACAAGGTTTTCAAATTACTTTATAAGTTATTTAATGAAGAAATATGAAGGTGAGTACCTCACCTTCAGCATTATAATTATTTCACCCGCGCGGGACAGAGACGGTGCCGCTGCATGTCGAGCAAACCCTCTCTGAATGGTTAAACACTGGCAAGAATTTCAAAGTAATGCAATTTATAAACTTTAGTGACGATGTGACACTACCTCGATTGTGCAAGTGACAATTCCTGTGTCAACTGTGCAGCTCGCTTATAGACAGACGCGATGTGGTGATTTGAAGCCATTTGCAATTGTGATTCACTCAGACTGTTTGTGAAATTATGTCTCACACAAGGTTTTCAAATTACTTTATAAGTTATTTAATGAAGAAATATGAAGGTGAGTACCTCACCTTCAGCATTATAATTATTTCACCCGCGCGGGACAGAGACGGTGCCGCTGCATGTCGAGCAAAACCTCTCATGGCAGCGTCATCAGCTTGAGATAGTTTTTTTAAGATCGGCCTTTTAGAGACCGCCGATCAATCATCCCAACGTGATTATCGGCCGATAGTGATCGGTAGCCGATCAATCGGAGCACCCCTAGTCAATAGACAGGAAAAAAACATAAATTTACATTATGTTTAGAAGAATAAAATGTCATGAAAATTAGTGTAAATGATATATGAACAAATTCCTCAGTAAAAACCTTTGAATATATATAAGGAATAAACCTCTAAGTTTTGGTGTTTGTAAGTGCTGCTGAAGTGGAGAAAAAACTTTTAGATTTATAGATTGTAATTAATATTTATAGATGCAATAGATAAAGTGCAATGAAATAAACACTTAAATTGGTATTTTAAATAATTTCCTTGCACTAGTCAGAAAAAGACAACTTATGGAAACAAAACAGACCAAAATCTCAAAATTTACCAGTGCATGAAAAAAAATTAATGATTTAGCCTGTGTAAAACATGGCCAGTACTCATACAGTACGTATATAGACATAAACAGGGTCAAAACACCATCAGGGCAACATACAACACTAAAATAATGCCACAAACATGAACTTAACAGAAATTGCAAAACAAAACACCCTAACATACATTACTGATGACAAAAATTAGAGAAAAATATTGGACTTCTGGGAATGTCCATTTACTGTTTTTCACCATAAAATATATGGTTGGTAATTCATAGATTTTACTTGCAAAAACTATAAAATTCACAGTATGATGGTAATGGTATCTGTAATTTATACCCCCGGTTTCATAGACAAGGCTTAAGCCTAGTCCCAGACTAAAATGCATGTCTGGGCTGTTTTAACTGAAAGAAACTTGCACGGACCGATCTTAAAATATGTCAGATTCATTGTTTTGTCTCAAGATGCACACCAGTAATGTTTTTATCTAATGCATATTTCTAAAAACTATTTAAATGTCCTAATTGAACTATGGCCTAATCCTGGCTTAACTTAAGCCCCCGTCTGTGACACCGGGCCATAATTACCCAACGGTAGGGTATCTTATAGTTAATCGCTTAGCCGTTTTTACTGTAAAAATATATTTTTTACAACGCATTACTTCCTGAAATGCTACGACACAGAGCAATTACGAAAGCAAAGTTATTTTTAAACTGGTAAGTTTAGCAGAAATACAAAAACGTGTTGATTTTGTATGGTACAGCAGACTAACTGTTTAACAGACCTCCGTTTAGCAAACAGAAGTGAAAAGAAGCTTGAGAAAATCAAGTGAAATGTGAAAAGAGGGGATCTTACTCCAGACGGTCAGGCTGATTTGTCTCTGGAAGCTTCCAGAGGGAAAGATGGAGATGTGGCAGGTGTATGTGGCCTGATCGGCCTTCTTTGTGTTCAGAATCAGCAGCGTGGAGTCGACGGTCGGGTCGGAGCTCTCGAACTGAACGAGACTCAGAAAATCAGGAGACACTGAAATAAAACAACGGAAGAAGAACGTTACCTTCACTTAGAGGCAAGTTCTCAGGAGACTGAGAATTAATAGTTGATTAATTCCTGGTCCTTCTTTGAACATCCTATCTGGATATCACAGGCAAACAGCAGTATCTGTGAGATATGTCATGTGACTCCACTGATACCACTCTTATCTTTTCATCAGAATTCTTGTTTCATTGTAAAGACTGAGAATCACCAGAAGACTTTTTGCTAAAATCCAAATTACAGGTGACCCATAAAATCCTGTCAACATTTACTCACCCGCATGTCCTTTCCAAACCAAGGTGATTATAGTTAACTTTTTTTTATGTTTACATTTTATTTCAGTCAATTGCTTTCCTAATTTTCCATTTAGTTTAACTACATGTATTAAATATATATAGTCAACTAATAAAAATGACAAAAAAAACAACAAAATTACTACAACTGAAACGAAAAACAATAAAAAAATTAATACAAATTCACCAAAAAACCTATAAAAACTTATTTTAGCTTATCTTATTTTTCATTTACATTGCTTAACTTGATGTACTAAAATAAATTAATAAAAAAAAACTATATAGACTTTTAAAAACAAAAACTAATAAAAATGACAAAAAAAAACACAAAATTATTACAAGTGAAACGAAAAACAGAATATAAATAAAAAAAATAATTCACAAAACAAAATCTATAAAAACTTGTATTTTAGCTTATCTTATTTTTCATTTACATTGCTTAACTTGATGTACTAAAAATACAAACTAAAATTTATAAAAAACAAAATTATAAAAATGACAAAAACACTACAAAACTACTAAAACTTTTACTAAAATTAAAAAGAAAAGAATATAGTCTCTATAGTCTACTATAATAGTATCTCAAATAATACTAAAATAACACAATTTCAAACCAAGTACTTTCTTTCATGCAACTGCAAAAACAAGTTAAAGTTATTTTTTATATACTGATCATTTCTTTTGCTCATTTCCATTCCATGGCAGCCCCAGCTCAAGCTTTACAGTGAAAGCATTCTCAACTTGGGTCCGTTCTTCACACGAAAGATCACACGACTTCAGAAGACGTGGAATATCGCGCTTAAGTTACATCAGCTACTGTTATGATATTTTACGCTGCTTTTTGTTGCAAACCCAGTCTTTATTCACTGCCATTGTATGCAAAACGGCAGCATGAGCTCCATTGTGTTTCACAGTAGAAAGAAAGAAAGAAAGAAAGAAAGAAAGTCATACAGGTTTGAGTTGATATGAGAGTGAGTAAATAATGACAGAATATTTTATATTTTGAGGCGAACTGAAACAATGCACTTCAACACAGATGGCAGATATGAGTTGGTTCAGGTAAAAGAGCTGATGAACACAATGCACCTTTGAAAATATCCGTCATGACAAACGTCTCTAGGTGACAGACGCCTGTCAGAACACAATGCATGCGAGACGGTTTCCATTGAACAAAACTGTTTGTGCTTCTCTGAATGGGAGGAGATTTAATGACAAGAGGCGGATGAATCACCAAAACACACCAGTGTTATTTTAGTATCATTGATATCCTACTATTATAGTTACTCATATTTAACAATTATTTTTTTATTTAATACATATTTTGAATTCGTTTTTATATTTTCATTAGAATTATAACTGGCCTACTTTTGTAGTGTGTATTTTTATTATTCTATACTATTTTTTTTCACTTCTAGTTATTTTAGATCCATATTTTATATCCAGTTACACTAAATGAAAATGAGAAATGTTGCCTCTGTAACTACACTGAAAAAAAATTATACTAATTTTTTTAAGGTAAGTGGTTGCAAACAATTTATTTTAGCTAAATTTAATTTTTTTTAAATATGTTATAAGTTAGTCAACTAAATTTTTTATTTAAATGTAGCTAAAATAAATTGATTGCAACCACTTACCTTAATTTAATAAATTCAATTTATATATATTTTTTAAAATAAAATACAACAAATATTTAACAAAAAAAGTCAACTTATTTCAGCTAACGTTTAATTTCAAGCAAATACATTTCAAGTGCTATTCTAGTATCACTGATGTACTATTATAGCTTTTAATTTGAATTAGAGAAATGTTGTAGCTAAAATAGCATACGTTTGTTATTGCCCATTTTATTTTATTTATTCTAAATTTTATTTATTTTATTATATTTTATTTATACATTTACTTAATTTCAAGTATCAAAAATGATCCGTTTTATTTTAGTATCTTTGAGAAACTATAATACTTTTTTCATATTTTGATATGATCGGTTTTTCTGTTTTCATTTTAGTTAAAGTTTTAGTCATTTTGTTGATTGTTTCTCTCATTTTTGTTTAGTGAACAACCCTGGAACACATGTCCAGGTCTCACACACAACATATTTCAGCCCAAACTCACGAGAAAAGAAAATGAAGCCTGTTTTGAGGACCATTAAGATTTTTTGCATTGTGAAATCTGAGCCAGACATGTTCCGAACAGGTTTTGTGAGATTCACTCAACTAGTTTGTGTTTGTAAATGGTGCAAACACACACGCACAGACGCGCACACTCACAGACACACACACACACACACACACAGATTCTCACACACGCACGCACACACACACTCACAGCAAACAATTTATTTTAGCTAAATTTAATTTTTTTTAAATATGTTATAAGTTAGTCAACTAAATTTTTTATTTAAATGTAGCTAAAATAAATTGATTGCAACCACTTACCTTAATTTAATAAATTCAATTTATATATATTTTTTAAAATAAAATACAACAAATATTTAACAAAAAAAGTCAACTTATTTCAGCTAACGTTTAATTTCAAGCAAATACATTTCAAGTGCTATTCTAGTATCACTGATGTACTATTATAGCTTTTAATTTGAATTAGAGAAATGTTGTAGCTAAAATAGCATACGTTTGTTATTGCCCATTTTATTTTATTTATTCTAAATTTTATTTATTTTATTATATTTTATTTATACATTTACTTAATTTCAAGTATCAAAAATGATCCGTTTTATTTTAGTATCTTTGAGAAACTATAATACTTTTTTCATATTTTGATATGATCGGTTTTTCTGTTTTCATTTTAGTTAAAGTTTTAGTCATTTTGTTGATTGTTTCTCTCATTTTTGTTTAGTGAACAACCCTGGAACACATGTCCAGGTCTCACACACAACATATTTCAGCCCAAACTCACGAGAAAAGAAAATGAAGCCTGTTTTGAGGACCATTAAGATTTTTTGCATTGTGAAATCTGAGCCAGACATGTTCCGAACAGGTTTTGTGAGATTCACTCAACTAGTTTGTGTTTGTAAATGGTGCAAACACACACGCACAGACGCGCACACTCACAGACACACACACACACACACACACAGATTCTCACACACGCACGCACACACACACTCACACACACACACACAGATTCTCACACACGCACGCACACACACACTCACTCACTCACTCACTCACTGACACACACACACCTATAGGTCCTTCAGTAAAGTGTCCCACGATAATCTGTTCTCGTTCTCCTCCAGGTTTCTGTCTGGACCAGGTCACTTGCACCACTTGTTCATCGGCCTCCACCATAAAGCGACAGGGCATCCGGGTCTGCGTGCTGGAGAATGAGCGCAGGGCCAGAGACGGAGACGGCTCGATAAACTCACTGTGAACACAGACTGAGACATAAAGAGACAGCGTGAACATCTGCAAACAGCACTGAATAGACAAGGTGAGGGCCGAGGACAGTTAATAATAAACCCATGCTATCATGATCCATCGCTCCTGGCCTACAAACATGTCACAAAAACACAAGGACATTCCCATGCAGCACAATGAGAGCGTTACAGATGTGTGACCAGCTCAAAAAAAAATGTATGCTAAATGCAAATAATAAAATACACCCCATATTGTTTGCTGCTGACATGCAAGGATGTATATACTAATGTAATCATGCAATTTCTCCTGGTGATTATGCTTTTACAAAATCATACATTTATTCAGCCTTTATGACATGTAATCATTGTGCATGCTGTTGGGTTTGATTTTAAAGACTGATATATGAAAGTCAGAAAAAAACATTATATATATACACTGTATATACACACACACACACACAGTATATATATTTTTTAAATGCAACAGTTTATTGAACATTTAAACAAAATATTTTTAAAATATCGTAAAAGTTTGCATATGTGCTTTATGTCTGGTATCATATTTGGCTTTTATGGCTCATATAGTCTGATAGAGTCAGAAAATGAAGATCACTTTTATTCAGAGACTCAAACGGAGCAAAAATATGAATTTGGTGCAGATGCTGATATTTCTATGATGAGATGCTTGTGATGTAAATCAATGAGATCTTTATAACAGTATAGAGCAGATACTGACATAAAATGATCTAAATATCAGCGGTCGCTCTATATCTCCAGTAACATGTCTCAGTGAGATGAGAGTGAAATGCTCCAAACATATAATGCAGTGATTGAGAGCTGAAGAAATAAAGGCTCCTCAGAAGATGTGAGATGTTCTGGAGGCTTGTGAAGATCATTCCTCCGCTGAGGAACAGTGAAAGTAAAGCTTCTGGAAACAAACGCTCCTCAAAAGATCCTGAGGATCAGATTTGAGACTCTAAAACATGATTGATGGAGAATCAAGTAAAGCTGAGCTGCTTCAGTGCAGTAAGTGTTCATCTGGAGATATTACTGACGTTATTCTGACGCTTACTTGACCAAAATCACTCAAGATTTGACAGAAGAAGTTCCAGCTGAAGCTGGACACTTGTACAATTACACTAAAAGAGCTTTTACTGGATAAAACACTCTAAACTATCAATCAGACGACAGAAGACATGCAGGAGATTGAGTGTGAAACAGCAAAGATTGATCATGTTCATCATGTAAAGGCCTTACAAATTGATTAGAAGCTAATTTTCTCACGCAGTCAAAAGCACCCTCAGTTAAAACTGTAATAATAGGATATTGGCAAAAAGAACTTGAACTGGAACACAATGGCCAATCAGAGGTGTTCCAGAAATCAACAGATATGTCTGTGATTGGCTTCAGTAAATAGAAACTTTTTGATGTGCTCCAGAGCGCAAACACATAGGTATGCACTGCAAAGTTTGACTAATCTCATTTGCCGATGTCCTATTATTAGTTTTAACTGAGGGTGCTTTTGTTCTCACATGTGGCTTGAGAACAGTGTTAACTGCGTGAGAGTTGGCAGCCCTGCTTAAAAGCGGTATGATATAAAATTAGCAAAGCTGTCACTCAGTCAACACTGTTCTCACGCTCTCGCATTGATTATAACAGAACATTGTGAGATTGCAATGAAGTGAAGATAGTGGCAGCTTTTTAGTGATTATATGTGTCCCTGCAGCACAAAAGCAGTGTTGAGTCGCTGGGGGATATTTGTAGCAATAGCCAACAATACATTGTATGGGTCACAATTATACATTTCTCTTTTATGCCAAAAATCATTAGGATATTAAGTAAAGATCATGTTCCATGAAGATATTTTGTAAATCTCCTACCGTAAATATATCAAAACTTAATTTTTGATTAGTAATATGCATTGCTAAGACCTTCATTTGAACAACTTTAAAGATGATTTTCTCAATATTTAGATTTTTTTGCACCCTGATGTATAAATCTCAATTTCAAAAAAGTGACCCTTATGACTGGTTTTGTGCTCCAGGGTCATATATGGGAGTGCTATTTGCTTGCTTTCTAGGCTACATATAACCCATTTAGAATTTGAATAAAAGTTTAGATTTTTGTGCTGCTAACAGGACCAGTGGCCACAAACAGTGACTGCAGGAGGGATATATATATTTCCAAAACCATCCCGCTGCGGAAATTCTCACTCCAAGTTGAACTCAGTCGGCAGCCCTGATGATTCAGGTAAAAGTACATTAGATTCTAGAGGGAAATGTTATTGCTCAGTCAGGTTTGATTTACATATCAACTTACAAAACAATTAAAATTAGTCACTTTACATCCAGTAAAAGTATAGAGCTATGACATCTAATGTACAGCAGTTCTGAGGATTTGATGAGAAATATTGAATTTGTATTGAGAGTTTTGATGGCAGACTTTAGTATCTTAACAAATCTGAGCACAGTTTGAGACACTCTTGAGATCTCTTGTACATGTTTATATTCGGGTATAGAATTAGGGTTCAAGTTTAAGGATGTTTCTGCTCATTTTGCATGATTGAACTCTTTTAGGCCAATGTACAAGTGCATCTCAATAAATTAGAATGTCATGGAAAAGTTCATTTATTTCAGTAATTCAACTCAAATCGTGAAACTCGTGTATTAAATAAATTCAGTGCACACAGACTGAAGTAGTTTAAGTCTTTGGTTCTTTTAATTGTGACGATTTTGGCTCACATTTAACAAAAACCCACCAATCTCAACAAATTAGAATACTTCATAAGACCAATAAAAAAAACATTTTTAGTGAATTATTGGCCTTCTGGAAAGTATGTTCATTTACTGTACATGTACTCAATACTTGGTAGGGGCTCCTTTTGCTTTAATTACTGCCTCAATTCGGCGTGGCATGGAGGTGATCAGTTTGTGGCACTGCTGAGGTGGTATGGAAGCCCAGGTTTCTTTGACAGTGGCCTTCAGCTCATCTGCATTTTTTGGTCTCTCTTTTCTCATTTTCCTCTTGACAATACAATTCAGGTCTGGTGAGTTTGCTGACCAGTCAAGCACACCAACACCATGGTCATTTAACCAACTTTTGGTGCTTTTGGCAGTGTGGGCAGGTGCCAAATCCTGCTGGAAAATGAAATCAGCATATTCAAAAAGCTGGTCAGCAGAAGGAAGCATGAAGTGCTCCAAAATGTATTGGTAAATGGGTGCAGTGACGTTGGTTTTCAAAAAACACAATGGACCAACACCAGCAGATGACATTGCACCCCAAATCATCACAGACTGTGGAAACTTAACACTGGACTTCAAGCAACTTGGGCTATGAGCTTCTCCACCCTTCCTCCAGACTCAAGGACCTTGGTTTCCAAATGAATTACAAAACTTGCTCTCATCTGAAAAGAGGACTTTGGACCACTGGGCAACAGTCCAGTTCTTCTTCTCCTTAGCCCAGGTAAGACGCCTCTGACGACTTAACAAGAGGAATACGACAACTGTAGCCAAATTCCTTGACACGTCTGTGTGTGGTGGCTCTTGATGCCTTGACCCCAGCCTCAGTCCATTCCTTGTGAAGTTCACTCAAATTCTTGAATCGATTTTGCTTGACAATCCTCATAAGGCTGCGGTTCTCTCGGTTGGTTGTGCATCTTTTTCTTCCACACTTTTTCCTTCCACTCAACTTTCATTTAACATGCTTGGATACAGCACTCTGTGAACATCCAGCTTCTTTGGCAATGAATGTTTGTGGCTTACCCTCCTTGTGAAGGGTGTCAATGATTGTCTTCTGGACAACTGTCAGATCAGCAGTCTTCCCCATGATTGTGTAGCCTAGTGAACCAAACTGAGAGACCATTTTGAAGGCTCAGGAAACCTTTGCAGGTGTTTTGAGTTGATTAGCTGATTAGCATGTCACCATATTCTAATTTGTTGAGAAAGTGAATTGGTGGGTTTTTGTTAAATGTGAGCCAAAATCATCACAATTAAAAAAACCAAAGACTTAAACTACTTCAGTCTGTGTGCACTGAATTTATTTAATACACAAGTTTCACAATTTGAGTTGAATTACTGAAATAAATGAACTTTTCCACGACATTCTAATTTATTGAGATGCACCTGTATAAGCCATCCTATAAGCGAAACCCAGATGAGAAACTCTGGACCAGACACCTGTCTTTCAAAGTCAACAAAACGAGACAGAAAGCAGAAGACAGTGAGGCATAATGAGAGAATGTCTTCTTGCAATTCTGGTTATTGTTTGTTTTCGTCTCAGCTGAGAGAAAGACTGAACACAAACACACTGACATGCTTAAACACACACACACACACACACACACACACACACACACACACACACCAGTCTGTGTGCACTGAATTTATTTAATACACAAGTTTCACAATTTGAGTTGAATTACTGAAATAAATGAACTTTTCCACGACATTCTAATTTATTGAGATGCACCTGTATAAGCCATCCTATAAGCGAAACCCAGATGAGAAACTCTGGACCAGACACCTGTCTTTCAAAGTCAACAAAACGAGACAGAAAGCAGAAGACAGTGAGGCATAATGAGAGAATGTCTTCTTGCAATTCTGGTTATTGTTTGTTTTCGTCTCAGCTGAGAGAAAGACTGAACACAAACACACTGACATGCTTAAACACACACACACACACACACACACACACACACACACACACACACACACACACACACACTCTCTCTCTCTCTCTCTCTCTCTCTCTCCCCCTCCCTCTCTCACACTCCTGCAGTTATTTCCTCAATGTCAGTCATAAATTAGAGCGTAATGGTTTTTGAAGCTGGTTGAACTTTAATTACAGTAGAAAATGTTCTAAAAGAATGTCACCGTACCACATGGCAGATCGATCACACACCCACACACACACACACACACACACACACACACACACACACACACAATCTGGACTAACATCTCAATATAACTCACGTTCAGCTAATATCCTATTTTTAAATCACAATTTTACTTTCACTAGATTACTTAAATGAGACTAAAAATCTACAAACCTGCATAAAAAGCACATAAAAAGATCAAACGTGTTGAGAAAGCAATGATTAAACTAAAACGTACAAACTAACCATTCATTACAGCCGGCTTCTCAAACATTTGTGTTTCTTACCCATCAACCTGAAGCCGATCACACTGATGCAGGCCAGCAGTTTCATCATGCTGCTGGTTTATTCTGGCAGTGTATTTCTGTTATTCCTCAACACATCTCTCATGTTCTCACTCGATTCTTCTGTTAATCCATCTTCAACTGTTCTTAAACTCCACCGTTTGTCTACATTTGAACGATTAAAAAAAGCATGCAAAGTAAAATTGCAGTTCTGTCACAAATCATGAGCAGAACGTGTACGGAACGATCCTGAGGCTGCTAAACTCATGATTAAACTCTGTCTGAACTGAAGTCAGCTCACGCGTTCAAACGCACTCAGGTGAGCCTTCACACACCTGCGGGTTAGGCTCCGCCCACCACTTCCGCGCGCACTTAAACACTCACCGACCTTTGATTGAAGCACTGAACTATAACCCTCTTCTTATTATATCCACACACAAAAAAATAAAAGGTCTGTGGTGGAAAAGTCTAGGAATGTATAAAAAGCTAACCTCTTCTGAACGCATGGCGAGGTGTGAAGTTTGAAAGTGTTTAGATATGAACAGGACAAACCAGTTCAGATGCAGATTCCTGACATAGCTTGTGGATTATTCACATCACTGAAGTGAAAACAGCAAGAAAGCTAATGAGGAGTAGTGCTGTGTTGTGTGTAACTCAGGTTTAAGGCAGAGCCACACTGCCCTCTGCTGGCGAAGTTTATGCATCACGCCTCATGCTAGACTACATGAAATCAAAATTAATACACGTTTGGGAATAACACGCATAAAATGTCCATATTACCTGACAGATATCAGAAGATTAGTACACCAGCTTCAAATCCAAGCTGCAGTGAGGACATTAAACGCAGGATGTGTCTAATTCAAATTAAAACATACGTACTGATCATTGAACCAAAGACAGCAAGAAGTAGTCATAGAAGACCAAAAAATATGAAATATGAACAACTTTCCAGAAGAGTCCAGACCAGTTCAGACCAGCCCAGCTAAAACCAGTGCAGCAAAACCAACAATAATCCCGTCAGGTTTGAATAAATTACTCGTGAACTGAAGTGTGTTTGTGTGCTGAAGGGAAATAAATGAATGAATGAGCGGCTGGAGATTCTGGACTCTGGTTTTGTTCAGTAGGCCGTTGTGGGCGTTTCACAGGCGGAGCTAAACAGAAGCTCCGCCTTCGAGCTGATGAAATACGTCACCAATAGAGACAGCAGCAGCACGGCCACGCCCACTCCCAGAGTTAACATCTACCAGACACAAACACAGAGGAAATATACATACATAAATCACAAAATCAAAACGGACCCAGGTCGCATTTCACCTCAAAATG